AACAGAGCAAGAGAAAGAGGACACAAGAGGGCAGCAGAGGACAACAAATGGAAAACCTGGAAGACAGGAACTAATAAGAAAACAACAACAAAATAATTATTAAATAACTAGGATAAAGAAACATGGTGAAAAGAAGACTAAACACAAGAAATCAAGGAGCAAAAGAAAAACATAACAGAAACAGAAACCTAACACAATCTGTGGTCCTTAATTTCACATCATGGCATCAACAATTGTGTAGCTACTAACTTACACCAGAATAAAATACCAATCTATGTTTTGGTTAATTTCAAAAGATACTGTGTCAATTTATGAACTTCATACAAAACTCCACATACTTTCAGAAAAAAATGTCACATTATCATATTATAGTACTTATTTTGCTGAAAGGTATACTGTAAGCAGGAGTTTGATCATCAAAGGTACTCATAAATCAAATAGCTGCACACCTAATTTAGCAACAATACCAATTTTTACAATGTTACCATATGGCAACAATTACTTTATCTTCGTTCTCTATAAATGATGTCATATAAACTAATTGTTTTTTTTTACAGTTTGTAGTAAAATGTAAAATGACTGGTGTGGACATTTCCCCACCAACTTTGGGCATGGAGGGGACAGTCCCCCCCAATAATTTCAGCTTTTTCCCCTTTCCGCTCATTTCCTTCAGCCAACAGTAAGTGGGGTTGGGTGCTGCTGTCTGTGTTCAGAGCATTTTGAGTCCGTGTTTTTTCCTCGCTCTTCCGCTGCTCTCAAGTCCCACCTCTTGACATATCATGGGAGAGAGTAGCTACATGGAGGAGGTGAGACACAGTAGAACTCAGTAAATTTTAACTGGCAACTACTTCTATATGTTTCAGTAAAAGTTAGGAGACAGGTTGGTTAAAAGAAATTAGAGATGCCACAGAAAAAGCTGTTAGACATACAGAGATTTTTCAGCTAAAAATGGCAACGGGATGTACGTTTATATAGGTTAAAAAGCTGGGCTTTTCAGAGGACCATTACTCAGAGTTATGGATTAAAATCAACACTGTTGTTTTTTCATTGAACAGAGAATCCGACTGCAGAGCTTCTAGAGATCCTGAAAATGATTTCCTCTGGCATCATTACATTGGTAGACAGGTTCATAAATCTGTTTTTAAGCAGAGCAGAGACACAATTAGTGACTAATGCTGATTTAAAGGTGAAACAGATTTACTGGGATATGGAACATGCAATAAAATATATCTCCAGGTTTACAAGAAAAAATACGCAATGCTATAATAAAATTCAACATATCTTTTGTCTTTTGTAGTTCAGCAAGACTCAGAAAAAGCTTCGCCAGCAACCCAGAGAGAGCCAGACTTACAGGACATGGATTTAAAATTAAAATATAAGAAACCTAAAAGAATTAAAGCACAAAAAATTAAAATCATTGTATAAATGATTTTTTAAATATAAGGTTCAATATATAGACTCTGGCTGTCAATGACATATGGGACACATTTCTAAATTAGATTTTGGTGCTTGTGAAGGACAATAATCACTGATGCAGCTTAAAGGGAAGCCATGCATGGATGGATGGATGGATGGATGGATGGATGGATGGATG